CGGCCCCCAAGGCATCAGAACGGGCCCAGAACGACTCGGCGCGGATCCCAAAGGCCCTGCAGCGCGAGGCCGAGCGCCGGGCGGCCGCGGGCTGAGCGCCGGGGCCGGGAACGGGGCGGGAAAACGGCGGGGCCCGAGACGCACGTGGCGCCCGGCGCCGCTCTGCCAGCCGCCATCTTGGGGGCGGCGACTTCCGAGAAAAGCTTTGTCACGTGACACGGTGCTCGGCGCCACCTTGTTGCGAGCGCCCCCTCGTGGCTGCGCTCGGCGTTGCGGCGCCGTTCGCATCCCCTCCCTCCCGCTGTTCCGCCCCGCCTTCATTCGGCCGAACCCCCCGCAACGAACCGGAGCAGCGCCGCCCACCCGCCCTGAACGCCGCGGTACGAAAAAAACCCACCGAAACGACCGCAAATAACCCCAAACGGAACCGACCCCGCTCTCGTAGCGCCCCGTCCGTGCCGCGAGCCCGAACCGAGCCCGAACCGCCCCGCGCTCCGCGCACCCCAAAGCCGCCCTTAACGCCGCCCGCAGCGCCCCCAGCCTGCAGCCCTGCGCCGCCCCAAGCCCGGGTCCGCTTCCCAGCCCCCTGCCCAGGACAGACCTGCGTCCGGCCGTCCGTCCGCCCATCCGCCCATCCGTCTGTCTGCAGGCACACGGCTGCACTCAGCCTCTCCGAGCGGACGGGGCGGGGCGTCGTGAGGATCCACCAATAGCAGCGCAGTGAGGCGCTCATGCAATGCGCCCATTGGCTGGGCTGTGCTGTCACTACCGCCCCTCTATAAAAGATCTGCCGCGGGAGTCGGCGCAAAGCTGTGGGCTCCGTGTGGGGTCAGATTTAATGGGGCGCAGCTGTGGGCTCCGTATGGGGTCACATTTAATGGGGCGGAGCTATGGGGCTCCATATGGGGTCAGATGTGAATGGGGCAGAGCTGTGGGGCTCCATATGGGGTCACATTTAATGGGGCAGAACTGTGGGGTCCATATGGGGTCAGACGTGAATGGGGCAGAGCTGTGGGCTCCATATGGGGTCAGATATCAATGTGGCAGAGCTGTGGGCTCCATATCGGCTCAGACACAAATGGGGCTGCGCTGTGGGGCTCCATATGGGGTCAGACACAAATGGGGTGGAGCTGTGGGCTCCATATGGGGTCAGACGTGAATGGGGCGGAGCTGTGGGGCTGCATATGGGGTCAGACATGAATGGGGCAGAGCTGTGGGGCTCCATATGGAGTCACATTTAATGGGGCAGAGCTGTGGGGCTCCATATGGAGTCACATTTAATGGGGCGGAGCTGTGGGGTCCATATGGGGTCAGACGTCAATGGGGCAGAGCTCTGGGGCTCCATATGGGGTCAGATGTGAATGGGACAGAGCTGTGGGCTCCATATGGGGTCAGACATGAATGGGGCGGAGCTGTAGGCTGCATATGGGGTCAGATGTGAATGGGGCGGAGCTGTG